GCTGGCTAACAGCAAGGTTTCCTTCTTCCAGGTCCCTCTCTGTGGGCTAAAACCAGAAGGTGCTGCTTACATTCATGCTGCAAGTTGATCTCCTTGAGGAAAGTCCTCAGTGGAGTGCCGGCAGCTTGGATTTCAGTGGGTTTCAGATGTGGTCAGGTGGGCAACCAAGATTAGTCATCCCAAATCTAACCCCTTGCCAAGTTGATACACGATCACATCTCCTCTTTCACGTTTAATTCATAAATAAAAAAATAACCAGGTCATTATTCTGAATAACATGATCTAGCTATCCTACATACAACACATCCTCTGTGTGTGTGTGTGTTTAGAATAGACAGCAAAGTCCCTTGAGGAATGATTATTCTTTTAGTGTCTCATAACTTAAATATCATCATGTAGACTTACAACACATAACCACCGATAGTGCCCCAATCAATGTTACGTTATACAACAGAGATGAAGAAACTGCAAACAGCTAAATATTGTGTGCATACTCACAAACATTCTGAAAAGAAAAAGGACAGAACACTCATGTCAACCACAACACTCATTTCTACAGCTTGTCCCGTGGCCTCGGCTTGCAGCTATAACTACCTTCCTCCACGGCCCATTCTGTGTTTCCTTTACCCTCAGCCGGCACCTTGGGGCTTTCCCTGGGTGGCCTGACCCCTCACCCCTGAATGGACTAGATTATTTGCCATCCTGCCTGGATTGGGTTGTCGTGGTTTTCTAATGGCTCCCATCATCTCCAGAATGGAAGACTTTGAAATATGCTCAGTGACAGGCCGGTCTGTGGGATTACGTCTAAGTAAAAGCCCCTTCCACCTGCTTCCAGGCTCAAGCTATCCAAAAGCGTAGGGAAATAAAGCAAAAGGACACAAAATGCTAAGAAGTGAACTCAGCCTGCCAGCTGAATCCTAACAAGGATGGCAAGATAAACACTTCAGCAGAGGTGCAGGAAGAGAAAGAGAAAGGGAGGCAGCAGGGACCATTCACACCAGCAGTGACATTGAGGAGCAGCGTATTTTGGATGCTACCGTGCTCTGGTATCCTGGACCCTCTCTCTTGAGTCTGGGCTCATGACCTAGCTTTGAAAAACTGGCCACCATTCCACTGTATTAATGAACATATTTCAAAGTCTCCTGTTCTGATAAAGACTGAAGTCGACTTCTCCTAGTTTGCTTTCTGTTGTTATGACCAAAGGCACCTTGGGGAGGAAAGGGTTTATTTCTTTTTATACTTCTGGATCACAGCCCATCCTTGAGGGAAGTCAGGACAGGGACCTGGAGCAGGAAGTCAAGGGAGAAAACTGCATACTATTTATCTCATTCATTAGCTGATGATCAGTAAGCTCTTTTATACACTCCAAGACCACCTGCCTAGGGATGGTGGTACCCACAGTGGGCTTGGCCCACTTAAATCAATCATCAATCAAATCAATTAAGACAACATCTCCCAGTCAAGGGTAGTTTGAATGTGAATGGCTCCCATAATCTCATAGGGAGTGGCACTATCAGGAGATGTGGCTTTGTTGGAGTGGGTGTGGTCTTGTTGGAGGAAGTATATTACTGTGGGGGTGGCTTTCAGGTTTCCTATGATCAGGATACTGCCCAGTGTCTTATGTTGATTTCCTGTTGCCTGAAAGCCAAGATGTAGCTGGCAACATGTCTGCCTGCACGCCAACGTGCTCCCCACCATGATGATAATGGACCGACCCTCTGAAATTGCAAGTGCTCCACCTCCAATTAATTAAACATATTCCTTTATAAGAGTTGCCCTGGATAAACATGGTATGTGCTCATTCATATATGGATTTTAGACATGGACCGGGGAGTGCCAGCCTACAATCCCACTGCCAGAGAGTCCGGGAAACAGAACTTTCAACCAGCAACTGATGGAAGCAGAAGCAGACACCCACAGCTAAACACTGAACTAAACTCAAGGAATCTAGTGACAGAGAGGAGGAGTGATGAGTAAAGGGGTCAAGACTGGGCTTGTTTAACCCTCAGAAACAGCTGACCTGAACAAGCGGGAGCTCTTGAATCCCAGACTGATGGCAGGGAATCCAGCATGGGACTGATCCAGACCCCCTGAAGAGGAGTGTCAGTGAGGAGGCCTAGGCAATCTATGGGACCTTGGGTAGTAGATCAGTATTTATCCCTGGCATACAAATGGACTTTGGGTGCTCATCCCACAGTGAGAGATACACTCTCAGCCTGGATTCTTGGGGGAGGGCCGAGGCCCTGCCCTGGATGAAATGACAGACTATGGACACCCACCCTAGGGAGGGCCTCACCCTCCCTGGGGAAAGGATTGGGGATTGGGGGAGGGGATGGGGGTTGGTGGGAGAGCGTGGGAGGAGGGGAGACAGAGGGAGAGGGAGCTGGGATTGACATGTGAAGCAACCTTGTTTCTAATTTAAATTTAAAAATTAAAAAAAGAGTTGCCCTGGTCATGGTATCTCTTCATAGCAACAAAAACTCTAAAACAAAGGTGGTACCAGGGACTGGGGTATTTCTGTGATAGACTGGACCTTGGTTTTGTTTGGAAGAATTTGGACTCTGATACTTTGGGTTATGAAAGCCGTGGAAGGCTTTAATCACTGCTTAATAGGCTGTACTAGTAGGAGCATGGAAGACAGACGTGCTAAGAGTTACGTGAACTGTGGAGGCCTCATTTAAGAGGGTTCAGAGAAGAATTTTAGTATGTTGCCTAGAGATCCTTCTTGTGATATTTTGGTGAAGAACTTGGCTGCCTTCTTGTCTTTGTCCAAATAGCTTGCCTGAGGCTAAAGTGGAAAGTTTCAGATGAATTCCGCTGGCAGAAGAAATCTCAAAACAGCCTAATAACGGACACTACTGTGTGATTATTAGCGGGCAACTCTAATGAAGATTTATAATGAAAAGGAGCAAGCTAAGCAGGCTAAATTACAAAATAAAAATTTTGAGGGGAAAAAAGGAGCACAAGGAATTGGAATAAAGCTGAATTCTGTGTGGGAGGAGATAGACAGATTAAGAAATGGAATAAACAGAGTGATGACTTCAGAGCAAGATCCCACCCAGTTCAGTTTCCAAATTGTGGGAAGGAACTAAATAAAAGCTTAGAGCTGGATGCAGTGGTGCATTGGGAAGGCAGAGGCAGACAGAACTCTGAGTTTGAGGCCAGCCTGGTCCATGGAACAAGTTTCGGGACAGCCAAGCTCAGGCAGGAAGCTGGGTGAAGGTGTAATTGGAAAAGGCAGCCGTGTTCTAGCCACAGTAAGCAGCAGAACTTGGTCCTGGCTTTAGAGTTAAGGACAGAAGTGATGTGGAAGTCATGTGTCAATAAAGCACTGCTGGCCAATAGGAAAGTTAGATAGGCGGGACTAGGAGTCGGGAGGACTCTGGGTAGGAGAAACACAGGGAGTAAAGATGTAACGCTATGGGGTAGGAAGCCCGGAAATTTCTCCGGTAAGGGAAATACTTAGATTAACAATTATGGGATAAATACTTAAGTCAGAGCTAGCCAGTAAGAAACAAGCAAGGCCAACAGCTTCATAATTAATATAGTCTCCTGTGTGTTTATTTGGGACTGATGCAGCTCTGGAATCAGGCTGGTGGGAAGGCTTCACTCAAGGAAAAGGCTTTCTCTTTACACAGAAGAAAGGAGTTATGGAATAAAGAAGTCACCGAGGTCAGGCATGTGTCAGGGGTGTCCACGAATGGAGGCCAAGAGAGGCCATTGCACGAAGCCATGAAGTTGAATTTTCTTGGGGAACCCAAGATGTTAGAGATGCCAGTAGTTGTAGGATACCTGCCGACCAGGGCTGCTGACAGGGAGTGGAGCCAGCCCAAGAGGAAGAAGTGTGTTGTAGTCAACAAAGCTGACAGAGCTGAAGATCTGGAGAGCATTTTGACTTCAGACATGGAGATGCAGAGTTTGCAGGTTGCCTAGTTGTTGTTGTTTTTCTTTGTCTTGCTTTGACCCAGTATTTCCTCATTATGCTCTTTTCCCCAATTTTTTTGAATGTAACATATACCCTGTGTCATTATATTTGGAGTATGTGATCTGCTTTTTGATTCTGACTTTGTAAGTTAAGTTATAGTTAAGAGATATGAATCTCCGAAGAGACTTTGAACTTTGGATCGTTGAGACTGTGATAGACTAGGGGAACTTTTGAAGTTGGATTAAATGCATTTGCATTATGACATTGTTACAAGCTCATGGGGACCAAGGAGTGGAAGACAGCAATTTGAACGTGATTAGTCCCCATAATCTCATAGGGAGTGTCGCTATTAGGAGGCATGGCTTTGTTGGAGGGGGTGTAGCCTTGTTGGAGGACAAAATGTCACTGTGTGGTGGGCTTTCCAGTTTCCTATGCTCAGGATACTGCCCACTGTTGGCTTTTTGTTGCCTTCCAGCCAAGATGCAGCCAGCAACACATCTGCCTGAATGCCACCATGCTCCCCACCATAATGATAACAGACCGACTCTCTAAAACTGTGATCCCCAATTAAATGAATTCCTTTATAAGAGTTGCCCTGGTCATAGTGTTTCTTCATAGCAGTAAAAAGCCCTAACTAAGGCAGAGTTATTCTTTCTTTTTCTTTGGTCCGTTTTGTCGTTTGTTTTGATGTTTACTTGATGCATCTGAGAGTTCTGTGTACCATGTACATTACTTGGTACCTGAGGAAGTCAGAAGAGGGCCTTGTGCCCCATGGAACTGGAATTGTGGACGGTTGTGGGCTACCTACTAGGTGTTGGGAATTGAACTTGGGTCCTCTGCAAGAACGAATGCTCTTAACCGCTGAGCCGTCTCTCTGGCCTCAGTGCAATTTTAAAAATGGGGTTCCCCTTCCTATGTGGCTCTAGGTCTTGTCAAACTGGCATCGAAAATTAACCAGAAATGTGATCCTAAGTCTGTTCTGGTAGTTTTTGGTTGGGGAACACCAAAGAACCTGAGGCAGAAAGCAAGGCAAAGCTTCTCTGGTCACTCATGTGTGACGCCCACTCATACTTACCTCTGCAGTACGGCTTTCTGTAGGCCCCACACAAGAACAGCACTCGCCTGACAGGTGTGACGTTCTGGGCTCCGTCACTGCACTGGAAATAAAGACATTGCTGAGGGAGGAATCTGTATTTCTACAGAGCTCAGACTGCTGAAAACTCGGTCTCCTATTTGTCTCTCACCACCCTGGGAACTTCTAGAGTCTACCAGTCTCTATGTCCTGCACAGGAATCAATGTCTCTCAGCACTAAAGACTATTTTTGACCAGGCCTTGTCTTACAGGCCTTTCACCTCAGAGACTGAAGACACTGAAGCCAAAGGACTATGAGTTCAAGGCCAGCCAGGGCTGCTTGGTAGGCCCTGGCCACCCCACTCATCCTTGTCACTCCTCCTCGCTTACGAGTCTCTCTCCCACCATATTCATGACCTGTGTGTGTGTGTGTGTGTGAGAGAGAGAGAGAGAGAAAGAGAGAGAGAGAGAGAGAGAGAGAGAGAGAGAGAGAGAGAGAGAGAGAGAGAGAGAGAGAGAGAGCCTCTGAGCTTTAAGTAGGGCCATCTATCTGTGTGGCCATAGGTTTGGGATCACCCCCACTGGAACCTGGTGGTAAAGATTCCAGGTTCCACCTCTGTCTGCTGCAGACCCCCGAGTGAAAGGTTTCTGTCTCTGTTCCCCGCACCAAGGCAGTCACATGGGATGTTTGCTTTTCCTGCTCCGTGGGGCAAAGACTGCAGAGATCTGCCCAGGAAAAACCTCAGCCCCCGCCATCTTAAGAGGTGGACAGTGGCATGTGTCTGTATTTACCCACGAGTTCCCTGGGGATCACGCTTTTCCACGCAAGGTGGAAAACGCTCAGGACTCCGGTCCCCCCTTACTGCCTCTTCCATCCTTGTTCTGACTGCCACCACTGTGTCCTTCTTCTCAGGCAAACTGCTTGCCCTTGAAACCACGTCTTGGCGCATGACTCTGGGGGAGCTCATCTCAGTATCACATTAAGGCTTCAAGGGCCGTGTGTTCACATGCTCAACACACGTGTGTGTTTGATTCCGGGCTCTGTGTCACGTGCTGGCCAGTTGTTTGAATTGTAACATGATGAAAATTCCGATGCCCCTCCCCCACAGCCTTCTCTTCCAGCAGAGGGAAATGGTTAAAAAATGACCCATAAGATTGTGACTCTGATGGCTCAGCAGTTAAGAGCACTGGATACCGTTTCCAGAGGACCCCTGGGTCAATTCTCAGCACTCACGTGGTGGCTCACAACCCTCTGTAATGCCAGGTCTAGGGTGATCCAGTGTCCTTTTTGATACTCCTGGGCATATGGTGCATACCCAGTACACAGATATACACATTGACAAGAAGCTGATACACACAAAACAATTATAAAGCCAATTCTTTTTTTTTAATGTATTGCACACCTGTGGGCACAGGCTTGCATAAGGAGGCCTGGCATTGATGTCGGGCCACCATCTCTATCATTGTCCACCTTATCTGTCGAGTAAAGGTGTCTCACTAACACTGGAACTTGGTGTTTTATTTATTTATTTATATTTATGGTTTTATTTAAATTAGAAACATGTATGCTTCACATGTCAATCCCAGCTCCCTCTCCCACCCCTCCTCCCTTGTCCCTCCACCATTCCCCCCCAGCCCCCCACCCAATCCCCACACCATTCCCCAGGGAGGGTGAGGTCCTCCATGGGGGGATCTCCAGAGTCTGTCCTTTCATCCAGGGCAGGACCTAGACCCTCCCAACCTGTGTCCAGGCTGAGAGAGCATCCCTCCATGTGGAATGGGCTCCCAAAGTTCATTCTTACACCATGGTAAACACTGATCTGCTACCCAAGGCCCCAGAGACTGCTGAGGCCTCCTCACTGACACTACATTAGTGGGGGTCCGGATCAGTCCCATGCTGGCCTCTCAGCCATCAGTCTGGGATGCAAGAGCTCCCCCTTGTCCAGTCAGCCGTTATAAATTCATTTCTTAAAACGAGGAACTCGACTGTGTGCAACTAGGGTGATAGGAGATGCCTCTGCAGAACTGAGCTCCCGGAAGTCCTGCCAGGCTAACTTCTCTGTGTGGCTCTCCCACGTGGACTGCAATGTCTCTAGCTGCCACCTCTCCCCTTGGTACCCTGCCTAGCACCTGCCACTCGCTGTGAACTGCACTTCTTAGGGAGGGCAGCCACACCAAGGTCCAAGGAGACAAGAGTATGCTTTTGCCGACCCTGCGGACTTGCCTTTGGCTGCACTGGGCAAGCTCGGTGCTCTTCCTGGAGGTGAAGTTTTCCAGATGCTGGAGCCAGCAGTCAGGACATACGGAGCACGGGGCTGACTGCTGTGGGTTGAGTATGGAATGTCCCCTCAAAAGGGCACCTGAGCTGAAGGCCTGGTTCCCACTGGCGGCACTGTTTGAGAAGTGATTAGATCTTGAGAACTCTCGCTCATTATTGTGTCGGTCTACTGACGGATCAGCAGCTGACGGAACCCCGGGGGAGGGTTGGGCGTGGCTGGAAGGAGTGGGTGACAGCAGGTGTGACTGGCATAAGCTGGCCCTGGCTGAGCATCCTCCAACGGATTTCCAAGGTGATGCTGACATCAGTGAGGAGTATCTCTTATGGGCCGCTTTGGGCAGCCGTATCCAGTGCTCCAGAATTCCTAGATAATATCTTGGGTAACTTCCTCCACTAAATCTCTTCATAATCTACCTGCGGTTATACATGGCCACTTAGGGGACGGTTCTGTCAAGGTTCAGTTGCCTTGCAGAACTGCACAGGGCTGGGTTTCATGTGGCTCCTAGAAGGACCGTGTGGAAAAATCTTGGTTTGTGTGATGGCATTCTGTAGTTCTCTGGGAAGTGTTTGACAAAGCCTGTCAGTTTATATATTTTACAAAAATGCTGTCAATCCCTCACTTCTTGAATCAGTTAATGATCTAACTGGCTGTTTCAGCAGAGAAAAACCCCAAATTGCGTAGGATCTCACTCCCTTCTCTGCAAGTTGATTTGGTAAACACTCACCACAGCCCTGCTGGCTGATCCAGTGTGTTGCCAGATACCCGAGGGGGCTGGAAGAGATGCCTTGCTTCTCAGATGCAGGCATGCACCCTCTGTTATCTGCCCGGGAGTGGGAAGTCACCATCACTCTGACATAAAGCAAAGAGGCAGGTGCCGGAGGTCCCGAGGTCCGGGAACTGTGTCTGCAGGCCAGCTTTTCAGCATGAAACAGATCTGGATGCCTTTCCCAGCTCTGCAACGGGGAACTCCAGGCCTGATGGATCATAGTCTGTGCATCATAGGCCAACAGGGGTTCTCCTGGAAAAAAATCACAGGAGAGGCTGAGGAATAGGAGACGAGAAAAAAAACATATAGTGCAAAGGGCAGATGATGCCAGGAACCTGCTGCCATAATGGAGGACCAGGGTCTCTTCCGGTTTGTTCTCAATGGTGGACGTCCATTGAGAAGCAGAGGTGGTGAAGGGGAGATGTAAAAAGAGAGAGAATGCTTTCGCGATGGCTAGCTCTTGGGGAAAAGGAGGGATTGTTGGATCAGTTCCTATGGTCCTAGACTCAGGAGCATGGAGCACAAGGGTGATGAGTTCAAGACTTGCCTGTGTAACGTGTAGTCTTCCTGCCAGCCTGGTTCCAGAGCCTCGTCAGTCCCAAATGAACACACAGGACGCTATATTAATTATGAAGCTGTTGGCCATATGCTGTTGTTTCTCATTGGCTAGCTCTGACATAATTATTGACCCATAATCACCAATATATATTTTTATAAGGACTTATCTTTCTGAGATTGCTGACTTGCGTTCTTTCCTGGGGGGGAAGGGGAAATCACATCGCAACGATTCCCTTCACTACATTTCCCAGAATCCTCCTATCCTCCTAGACTCCTAGTCCCACCTATCTTGCTTTCCTATTGGCCAACAGTGCTTCATTTAAACCAATCAGACACATCTTTACAGAATGACGTCTCCCAACAAACCTGTGTTACCTAGTGAGGTTTGCTGATTTCCCATCAGATGGGTGGTAACGTCTCATGGGACTTCTCTGGTACAAGAGTGTTCCCAAAGGGAATTCCGGCTGTTTTTCCATCATGAAGACATGGGTAGCAGGCACTAGGCGCGGAGGTTTGAAAGAAAATAGCCCCCCAAAGGGAGTGGCACTATCAGGAGGTGCAGCCTTGTTGAAGGAAGTGTGTCACTGTTGGGGGCGGGCTTTGAGGTATCTTTTGCTCAAGATTTCACCAATGCGACTTTTAGTTGACTTCCTGTAGTCTGCATGCCGCTATGCTCCACATCTGTTGCCTTCAAGACACAGCACTCTGTCTGCACACCGCTGCGCTCCCCATCGTGATCATAATGGGCTGAACCTCTGCAACTGTAAGTGAGCCGCAGCCACCGCAATTAAATGTTTTCTTTATGAGAGTTGCCATGGTCATGACATCTCTTCACAGCAATAGAAAACCCAAACTAAGACAGTAGGTAAAGTTATTTTACCCTGGACACGGAAGTCATGGATGCAATTTCCCCATGAGGGAAAATGTTTGGGAAGGACTTGAATTCCCCCTGATTGATGAAAAGCACAGTGTCCCTGCCAGGGCCCAAGGGTTCAGAGTGCTTCCTCTTGGGTGAAAAGATCCAGCAGGGTGCCCAGACATCAGTCAGAGAATCTCTGGAGCATGGGTGGAGTCTGTATTGCCATGGAAACTAGAGTCCAAAGAGGAGAGGTGTGAGTCCTTGAAAAAAAATTAAACAATTGCTCCTAGGTAATTATGGAAAAATACTGAAAGCATGTTTCATTACTATAGTTGAATTCACGGCAGCCAAAAGCAGAGTGAACTCAAGTGATGGCCGGAAAATGGATGAGCAGAATGTGGTACACACATACAATGGACTATTAGTCAATCTTGAAAAAGACGTGAAACAGGCATGAACAGACCCTGAGGGGAACAATTCAGTTATCTGCAAAGCAGATAATTCTACTTATTCTGAGATACCCAGAACAGTACACTTATAGAGAGATGTAGCAGAAAGGTACCTGGTAGGGTATTCAGAGAGAAGAAAATAATAGGGGGTGGCTTGATGTATATGGGGGTCTTCCGAGGTGATAAGAAGTTCTGGTGTTAGATCTGAGTGGGGTCATAATGGACACTTGTCAAGGGAGCATTATGGGGCTGGGGAATGGAAGACTTGACATTACTAAATGACAAAAAAGGTATAGACATGTACAGGAAAAAAATATATGTATAATATGAACATGTGCACACATGCACACACATGCATGCACATACACACAGGACAGAAGTAGTGGACAAGGAGGTTCCTGGTTTTGAATAGTGCTGCAGGTGGGATCCAGAGCCTAGCGTATGCTGGCCAAGCTGTACATCCCTGAGCCACACCAACAGCTCCATAGTTGCTTCTTTCTTGGCTGAAGAAACACTATACGGTCAAACAAGAGACCAATAAAGCCACTGACAAGTAGGGGAAGGGTCAGGGGAGATAATGAGCTTCTCTGGGTATATTTACTTCTAACATAACTTAAAATTCTAGTTTCTGTTACTGTGGTGCTCACTTAAAATTTATTCTAAAAATAAACCTTTATAAAAGAAAGACTTTTAAAAAACTATATGAAGGGAACTGGGGAGATCTGGCTCAGGGATTAGGAGCGTTTGCTACTCTTGTAGGAGAACTGAGCTGGGTTCTCACGGCACTCATGCCTGGTGCTTTATAGGCACTCATGACTCCAGCTCCAGGGACAAGGTGCCCTCTTCTGGCCACCGTGGGCAGTGCATTCATAGGCACAGACACATGTGCACATACACAATAAAATAATTTTTAAAATATCTATTAAGGTTTGTTTGAGATATAAAAGAAACATTAGTGAATGGATTAAATGCTATTTTCTATGATAAAAATATCAGTACTCAAAATATATAAATTCTTTCCAAACTAGCCAGCTATTTCAACATATTTGAACCCAATAGATTAAAGTATAAAACTGGGCAATGTTATTCTTATGTTTTTGGCTGTAAGTCTAGCCTTTAATGGCTGAGCTATCCCTCCAGCCCAAGGCAATGTTACTGTAATGCGTATACAGGGGAAAGAATGTTCTAGAATTGTCAGTACTGTTTGAGAAAAAAAATAACGGAGGACTTTATGCCATCAGGATTTACTACTAAAACGTAGACATCAAAGTGCATCTGAACAGAATGATTATATTTTGTGGAGATACCTAAATTCATCCATGAAAAATAGTGAGTCTGAAAAATAGGCTCATGGACACTTGAAAATGCATCAAACTGTAAAAATGAAAATACTCTTTGTTTCATAACATTAACAAAAGTAAATATAAGAGAGCTAGAAATCTACACATTTGGGAATACAAGAAGGATTACAAGGCCCCGGGTTCAATACCCAGCACCACAAATAGTTAAAAAGCAATGGCCATCACTGCATTTGCACTATAGACATATATTTCATGACAGGTAGGTCAGGCCTCTGTGCTAGCAAATATAAAATACTATTGTTAATAATCATCTTTATATTGGGACTGGAGACATGGCTCAGCAATTCAGAATACGTACTGCTCCCACAGAGGATCTCAGTTTGATCCCTGATGGGAGATGTCATTCTGTAAATCTGTCTCTCTTATTGGTTGTTGAATGAAGCACTGTCGGCCAATAGGGAAGCAAGATAGGTGGGACTAGGCATCAAGGAGGATTCTGGGAAAGAGAGGCAGAGGGAGGGAGACACCATATAGACCGCCAGAGTAAGAGGTCTGGACCCTTTTCTCCAGTAAGAGAAATACTTAGATTAACAATTATGGGTTAAATACTTAAGTCAGAGATAGCCAGTAAGAAACCAAGCAAACGGCCAGCAGCTTCCTAATTAATATAGTGTCCTGTGTGTTATTTGGGGGTTCAGATAGTGCGGCAGAGCCCAGGCGACTGGCAAGGAAGACTACACTCTACAGATCCCCCCCTCTCCTCTTGTGTTGGATGGCCTACAACCACCTGCAATATCCAGAAGGTAGGACGCCCTCCTCCGGCCTCTATGCTCCCTACAACCATGTACACATGCTCACATGTGCACGTGACATGCATATAACTTAAAAAATAATGAAACCAGATCGTAATTATAGGATCTGAAATACATTCTTAAATTATAAAACATAATACAATTGCAATATAGCGTAAATCATTAAAATTTAAGCAAATTCTTCATGCACCACGTTGCATCAGATTTTAACTAGACTCATTTTTCCAAAATAATTCATATACTTAATACAGTCCAAGTAAAAAAAATGGCCAGGGTTTTTGAGAGGACTCAAGTTAACAGCTTGGTTTAAATTTTAACGAAGTTTTGAAGGCCCAAAGATAGTCAAGGCAACTATTAAGAAGGGGGCAGATGTCTTACTCTATGGTTATTCAAAGCGATCACCAAGTTATAACACTTAAGACGGTGTGGGGTACTCAGGGTTGGGACAAACGAGCAACAGGAAGAGGAAAGAGTAAGGTAAGAGCAAGAGATAGAGAGGGAGAAAGGGAGAGGGAGAGGGAGGGAGAGAGAAAGAGAGAGAGAGAAAGTGTGTCTTGCGTTCATAACAAAACTCACATTGTAGAGGCAAATCACGTCCCTCCAATAAATACTGCTGGGTCAACTGGACAGAGACAGATGGGGCAAGTGACTTGGTTCTGATTTCACCCCATCCCACCCGCGCACAAAGGTCTATTCTAGACAGATTGTGAGCCTGAATTGAGGAGGAAACAGGCAAGCACCAAGACACAAACCAGACCGTTCTTAGCGTAGGGTAGAAAAAGACTTCTTACACCATATTTGAAAAGCACCACTGTCTAGGAAGACTGATACTTGCAATTGCCTCCACAGGGAAAAACATCTTGCTTATTAAAAGGCAGAAGAGACGGCTCAGCAGGTAAGGACACTGCCACTCTTGTAGAGGACCCAGGTTCAGTTCCCGACACCCTCGTAAGGCAGCTCACAACTGGTGAAGATCAGGCTCAGGAGGGAGCTTATGCTCCCTTCTGGCATCCTCAGCACCTCCTCCATGCATACGATATACATAAACTCACCCTGACATACACATATACATGAGTAAAACATAAATGAGTCTTTTTAAAAAGGCATTATAAAAAGTGTGGAACAGATCATGATGGGGAGAATATAGTTTGTAACACAACTAGCCACTGGGCAACCAGTTTCCCGTGATAAATAATGACAAAAGAATACAAAATGTCACATGACTGCGCTGGCATTCCCATCGTCTCAAATTCTCCTCCTACATCGCAATTCTGCAGCTGGGCGCTGACAGTTTCTGCATTTCCAGATGGCTCCGTGCTGGGCTCTGGAGTCACTGAAGGAGGCCCAGAGGCTGAAGAAGGACCAAGGACAGTCAACTCTTGGCCCTTTCCAGGAGTGGTAAGTGGGTGCATTTCTGCCCCTTTGAATGACAGCATAAGGCTCTCATAGGTCATTGCCAGCCCTAACAGAGTTTGTCTTTTGGAGGTTGGTCTGGCTATGTAGCCCAGGCTGGCCTGGAATGTGATCTTCTTGCCTCAGCCTTGTGAGTGGTAGGACTCCACGTCTAAGGGGCCGGGGCCTGTAGTGTATGATTATTGAACAAATTCAAACTCACAGAGATCCTCCTGCCTCTGCTCCTGAGTGCTGGCATTAAAGGCTTGAGACAACACAGTGAGCCAGTATGCTACTTTTGACTTGAATTAGTCTACATTTTAGCTTTCACAAAATGTCTAGTTCTCTCTCTGTCTGTCTCTCTGTCTCTGTCTATGTCTCTGTCTCTGTCTCTCTCTCTCTCACACACACACACTTAGAAGTTTTTCAAGAATGGAACTTTGAATTCAAATCAATATCACATCTTTAACTGTTCAGAAGCCATATGTTGTCAGCGGCCCTGGGTGACCTAAGGTGCACCCAGGTCAGCCCCTTCCCTTGGTTGGGCTTTGGGTCTGGGTATTATACCTCAAGAGCATTCATTGGGGCCAGTTGGTGTTCCTAGCTCTGCCGTGTGAACGCAGCTCTTCTTGGCATGTTACATGTATATGAGATCCACCCATTAGGGCAACCAGGTTTAGCCCAGAAGGCTCCCCATTTCCAGAGTGTCAGCTGGCCCTATGGCGTTTTGCCCACCAGGTGCAATGCAGCCTTCTGATACAGCCGGGAATGAGCCAGAGGCCCTGTGGGTCTTCCTCAAGGGTTGCCTTCTGGACTGGAGCTTGGGATAAAAAATAAATGGTCTTCCTCAAGGGTTGCCTTCTGGGCTGGAGCTTGGGATAAAACCCATAGGTGGCCTACACCATGGTTTCACAGCCTGGTGACTCCGGAGCAGGCAGGAGCAGCAGCCATCTCTGACAGTGACCCGATCCCCATGTCCCCCTCTCCAGTGCTTACTTCCATCGGTGTGTTAGGCTGTCGTTTAAGAACAACTGAAATTGGGTGCACTAGCATGTACCATATCTGAGTCATGGATGTAGCCAATTCAAAAGCCTCTCTGCAAAAGATTCTAAAACAAACAAACAGCCACACGAAACGGTAGCCGGTGGCCCAGCCACACATGGCACCCCTTAGGGAAATCTGTAGCTCGGTGACGCCCAGCACCTGTTCCAAAGGCCCTGATTGAATCTGTCTAGGGTGTGGCCTCAGCATTGCGATTCTAAAGTATGATTCCCACACAACGTGCGCCCTGGGTGTTGAGTCACCCATCTAGAAGACTCAGTGATCGTGGAGACCATTAACCGGCTCTGGGCTGGTTGTAGTTGCTTCCGGTACTTCTGGAGCTGACAGAGTGATACTCTGAGGTATTATAAGTTAAGTCCTGGGCTTCCTCTCCCGGACTCTCTGTGGCCTCCTTGTTTCTCTTTTAATAACCACCAAGTCTGATATCTCTGGCAGGACCCTGCCAGACAAGCCTCTGTGACCTCTCCAGTCATCTTCCTCTGTCCCGTTTCCTCTGCCCGGGCTCCCTCTCCTGGAAGTGTATCAAATATCCACACGGGGCTCATTGGGACTTTAAGCCTTGGGTCTCCCACCTTGTCCCGTGTTCTCTTGTTAAACCACGTGGCCCATCCCACTCAATTCCATGGTGCTCTCCCTGACACACCCCCTCTGACTTCTTCTGATCCCCTCCTACTCCAACTCCCCTTTACTGTGACACAGACGTCTTAATTGCGATTGACTTGTCCCCATCCCCGCCCCCTGCCCAGGATGTCCATCCTCATGCTGCTGAGGTTTGAATATGTCCGTCGGAAGGAAGACGGAGTGCTGGGGCCTTGACTCCAGGGTCACAGTCCACCCCTGGGTCTCCTGGAAGGCGTTTAAGTCACGGAGTGAGTCCTTTCCCTCAGGGTGTTTGGGTTAGTCAGGATGAGCGCCCATGCCCTGTCACAAAGCCTCATTGTTCATTTGTGTCATTCATGAGCGTCTGTTGTCCTGGTTTTTCTACCCCGAGAGTCAGAGTGTCATGGAGCCTTTGCTAGACGCAGCTATCTTGGGTTTGATTGGTCATAAGCCAAAATAAGCTCCTTTCTGAATCCCCCAGTCTCAGACCTTCTGCTGTAGCAACGGAAAACAGGTTTGAGGTGGGTACTGTATGAATATTCGTTTATATATATAGCTGCTGAGTAATGTCTGCTGGGGACTCTTTCAAACACACTCGTGGGTAGCGCTGGACGATGAGCTTAAATATTTAACTCCCTCCATCAGGGGCCACCCAGAATGACAACAGGACATGAGTAGGAGTGCTGGGCCAAAACACCTTCTCCGGGTAGCTGTATACAGAGAATCAGAATCAATGAGTTATCATTAAATGCAGTAGAAAAAATGGTGGCTCACCATTTTCCCCAAAGTGATTTCAAAGCAGGAAGATGACATAAAAGGAACGCAGACCTGCTGTCTTTTTAAAAAAGTCAGTGTGTAATTCATTGTATAAAATAACAGCTCTCATTTTCCCACATGGACATCTTGTTTCCTGCATGAACATCAAAGGCTTTGCTTCTGTATGTGTCCCGTTACTTCTTTTCCAAATTTTTTTCTTTCCGTTTTACAAGACAGGCTTTCTCTGTATTATTTTGGAGGCTGTCGGACCAGCCCGGCCTCGAACTCACAGAGATCCGCCTGCCTCTGCCTCCCGAGTGCTGGGATTAAAGGCGTGCGCCACCACCGCCCGGCTCTTTTCGAAAATTTTACTTTGTGAAATTATATATATGATGGGTCATATGAGTGCAGGTGCCTGCAGAGCTCCAAGGTGTTGGGACCCGGTGGAGCTGGAGTTACAGGAGGCTGTGAGCTGTCCAGTGTGGGAGCTGGGAATTAAATCTGGGTCCTCCTGAGCCATCTCTCCAACCCCTCCTGTCTCGTTAATTCTTTTGCTTCTCTTTCCTCCGCCCTCCCCTTTTCTCTTCACACAGACTCCTTTATTTTATGGACATATATACACCTGAAATAAAAACACACATCAGTGTGTATTTAACCGTACATAAAACTCAGATCCCACACATGTGAGAAAATTCAGAATTCGCGTGGCTTGTCTCCCTTGGCTTGGCTCCTCTTCTTAACGCGACGACTTTCACTTTTGTGCATTTTCCTTCTAATGGCCTGATTTAATTTTTCTTTGTGTCTGGGGACTGCCCCGTGGTGTACAAATACCACGTTTTCTTTATCCATCCATTCACCTGCTGACCCAGGACGTGGCTCTTGTGACCCGTGTTGAGACAGGGACCTGCTGTTTTCTGACTTAGTTTATGCTGGTCACATATTCATTTCTGACAGAGCAGCAGGCATCATGGGAATAGGGGGCCCATCGCAGAGTGAGTGCAAACAACTGCATGTTGGATAGCCAGACAGAACTGTGAAAGTGACCAGTCTGCCGTGAGATCCTCAAGACCGGACATTGAGCGGCTCTTTTCCCAGAAGGTCAAGAGTGTCTACGGCGTCAGCAAGCACAGGAACCCAGGCATCAGAGGCTCTCCGTGGCAACTGCCCCCTCCAAATCCTTCTTTGGGTGGCTAGGGATGAAATACCCTCTACACCGAAGGTGGGGGCGGGGTCCAGTAGTAGGAAACTCCCCATGGAAAATAGAACCTTGCCTTTGGCTTAGGAAACACAGGAAGGGAACCGGAAAACCTTGACATTTTTCCTGCTGTGACCGTCTCCTGGAATCCTTCCCAGTCCTCTTCAGCCACCTTGCGTCTAAACAGGATTGCAAGCTCATGGCAACCCATCTTTGAGTTAACTCATCTGAGCTGCGGGGTAGCCAGGTGGGCAAGGAGACGGGAGGAGAGGAGTCAGCCCACACTGGAGAATGTTCTTAGTTTGGTCAACTTCTTGTTTTAGCTTGAATAATGTGGCTCAAAAAAAGGTACCTATGAAAAGACTGTGTTATTTAAGAAGAGGATACCATGGCAGTCGCATCACGCCGAAAATATGCCGCATTATTTACTGTGTGCTTTCGGCTCAGCCCGGAGGGAAAAGTGAACTGTGGAGTCGGGTGAATGAGGTGAGGGCAGAACCAGATGAAAGGGCCCTGCCCCGAAATATGAAACATCTGTAAAGAGACAAATAGAAACACGGCGCAGGTGAAAATGACATAGCAGATATTCAAGGAAAAAAAAGTGATACCGGGGAAAACAAGCCCAGGAGGACAACCCCACAGGCTCCAGCTTGGTGCAGCTTGCTTTTCGGGCCAGAAGAATAGACAATTACAAGATCCAAATGGCACACATGGAGGAGGAGAAATCCAAGTAGCCTCTCAAATATCAAAAATTGAAGCATCCGTTCTCGTTGTTAATTTGCTTTTTGCTATTTTGAGAATTTCCCACAAGAGAACTGCATTTGCATCCGTCCTAACCCTTTCCCATCACCTTCTAGTCCCTCCCACACCTCCCCTACTCTCTCTCAAATTCATGGCCTCTTCTGGTTTGTCAGTTACACATAT